TACACCTTTCCCCATCCTAAATTATCACACTTCCAGAAGAAAATTTTGTCGCGGTCACACAATCACAAACCAACGCTTTTCACCAATCATTGTTTGATTGTTGATGTCCTCGTTTGCGGGACAACAATAATCACGAGACTCATGACAGCATCATGTTCAGCTTGACCGCCTTCTTGAATAATGTGCCTAACCACTATCTTACTAGTCAACTCCCAAAGTGCATGTATTTAATCCTGTGTACATGAGTTTGTTTCAGCATTCAATTGGGGACCCTGAACAATAGAGGACAATAAGGTCCCCGATTGACAGAAGGTCCCTGATTGACTGAGGGTCCCCGATTGACAACTGTGTACAAAACATATGGGTGGTCTTCTAAAAAAGTTAAAGTACAAACAAAAGAGGAACAATAGGGGGTCCTCAGTTGCAGGCAAATACACACTCGACTGTACATTTAGGTGTTTTTTTAAATTCTGGGTTAGTCTGGGTTATACCACATTATTAAACGGGGGGGGGGGGTACGCGTCCTGCACAGGGGGTTCAATTTTTGGTCATTCAAAGTTGACCTGTTGAGATTTCACCGTGGAAGCATATGTGTAATAACATGTTCTATCATTTGATTGTAATCAGTGTAATTAGTCCAGTGTGCGTATCCTATTATTAAATGAGGAAAAAGTTTATTATTTATTCTTGTTTTATGTAGTCATTTCTTTGTCTCGCAACATTACGTGTAGCCCTACATACGATAGGTACATGTACATAAGAGTTAACTTGAAAGCCACATAACGGCTGTCTAACTGTAGCCACTACATGTCTGCTTACTCACAAGATCGTAATCCGTCACCACCTTTGGGAGATGAGCTGAACATCGACCCTGCGATCCTGCATGCGGACACCATAGGGGACACAGTCTTCAGCAAGCGATGGGTTTTTGCAACTCTCATGAAACTTCTAAAGGTAAGGAAATGTCTGGGTCACCAGGTAATATCCAAAGTTGGTCAGTCGGTGCTGAAGTTAAGTTTTAAAAAAGATTTCTAAGTTACCCGTATGTAGTTTGTTAGTGTGTGAACATGTAATCAGAAATCAACAGGGAAAGGAAAAAATATCTGGAAGAAAGAATTCCATGATGCTGCATGACACCCTGTGCTGATACCCTCTAAGACTGGTCTTAAAATGCCAAGTGTTTTCTAAGAGAATTCCAAAGAATTTTCACTGGTAAGATTGACTTTTTAGGACCTTTTACTGCTTTTGACTGGACATGTAGCCGCACAGGAAATTATTGGCATCCATACATGGTATTCTTTTCTATATGAATCTAGAATGTTGAAAAGTCATTGTCCTAAAAAAAACAACTGCTTAGTTTGGGCGAATCCATACTTTCCCCTGCTGCCACCTCTGTGGCCCAGGTTCAATTCCCACCAAGGCTTACATGGATTTTGTTCTCAGTCACTGCTTTATTCCTAGTTTTTTCCTGAAATTTCCTCCCATCTTTGGAACGAACATTTTTTCATTGCTAAGGGCAGTTGTTGGTGCGACTTGAGGTTTTAACCTTCATGTAAGATACCTCACATAACTCTATTGGACCTTATAAAACAGTTAGCTAAACCTCAAGTCCCCTGCGAGCAGAACAAAAGAAGGCGTGTTTGTAAATGAACTTGACGGTCCTTTTACCAACTCCCCAAATACTCGCGCAAGTATATGCGCGTTTAACATGGAGCATGTTGAGTTCGCGCAACAAAGTTACTGCGGAATGTTTGGTCTTTGCGTACACGCAAAATGCGTACAAGAATCTGGTTTTAACTATCTGTCTTTCTTTCACCAATTGGGGGTGCACGTCAGCTCCGGGCGAATACAGCTACCCTGGTTCAACAGAAATATTAAGTACATTTGTAAATAGAAATAAGTAATTCAGTGTTTGGTATGAAAGACTCGTTGAGCTTAATGTTAGAAAATTGGAATGCATGGAATTGGTGGAGTTGGTCAGGAATTTGACCTATACTTGTACTTTGCCCAGGAAGTAGAAAAGGAACCTGAGGGAAAGTCACCACAGGAGCTGGATGCAGCAAAGGCTCATGGGATAGATATTGACGAGGGCCTGGAGACTGACTTGTGCAAGTTGTGGGACATGACAGCCAATCAGGATGTTGCAAAATTTCTCCACGAGTGGAAGTCATTGGACATCTTGACAAGTGTTATTGAGCAGACCACAGCACCTCGGGCCACTGTAAGCATGACGCCCAAATTGTTTTTACACTGTATGGTAACCCTGCTGTATGCAGCAGCATTAAGCCTGCTATTATTGTTTTGATTGATTAACCGTTCCTGCTTGGATTACATTTTCAATTTATTGAGCAGCCATTTTTTTCCGTAAACTAATTGCATGTAAAATCTAATCAGTAAAAAGCCTTTTGCTGGTTACATTTGAATAAATTCTGATACACTGAGTTCTTTTAATTCATGTGAACATAATAATTGAATTCTCATACTAAAGACACTGTTGCTATACCTCGTGATTTAGGGCAAGCTTTTGCTTACCTGTAGTTACTCAAGAAATGTCTTGCACCAAACACTGTTTACAATGGATGAGAAGGGCACAAAGGAACCAGTCCATTCCCAAGATGGTGGTCACTGTGCAAAAGCTTGCCCCCAATCTCGAGGCAAACGTGTGTAGCAACAGTGTCTTTAGTCTAGGGAATTCAAATTGTTATGTATATGTGCAATGAGATAACACAGTATACCAGATTTTATTCAAATGCAACTCACAAAAGGCTTATTTTCAGTGCACGTCATTCAATTGCATATCTCAAGTGCGACCATTCTCTGTGCTATCCCAGACGTCTTGCTCGAGATTTTTCGAGATGTTGGGATTGAAAAGTTTTTGACCATTTTCCTTCACCATCTGAAAGCAAGCTGTTATTTTACCTGATAACCTTTGATTAATCAAAAGAACACATGTAAACGAATGATCTCCTTGTAACAAAGTTAAAAGGACCAGACAAATTACTTCGTTATAACCAGGACTTTGTTGAAATGTTGCTTGTTTATTGACTCTGATAACAAGGACATTTGATGACTACAGTGATATCAAACTGCCAGTGTTGTTTTATCATGCAGGAGATTTGCATGGGTATTCTGGCCAACATGGCTTGCAGCGGAGACATTGCGGATTACATCAGCCGTAGTGACAAGATCAGGTACATATGTCTTCTTGTCTTGCCCTAGGCCAATGGCAGTGCCGTGGAGTCGTGAGTCTGGGGGGGGGTCGGCAGCTAACAGAGTGTTGGTCAAAGAGGGAATTTAATTGTAATGTTTGCAACCAACTGCTGAATACCAGGTTATCTCTGCACTGTGCCCTGGGCTGGAGCAAGAGAGGGTGTAATTTTCCGAGCAACAGAGGCTCCTTTTCTGGTTTATATGACCATGAATGCACGTGTTACTGGTAGGTCACTGCCAACAAAATGAACACTCCTGACCAACATGGCTCTTTTCAAAGATGAGGGGGTGCTTCTGCTAAAGGTGGATAATGGCTTCTCATTCTGGCTTAGAACTTGAACGTGGTGTGACTAGTCAGTTTATACAAGGACCTTCACGCGTGACAGGATGAACAATGAGAAAGGAATGCTTTTGTTGCTGTTCATTTGAACAGCTCGTGACTAGAATTCAGACAAGAGGTCTCGTAGTGGTCTTGTTATGGTTATGACTGCAGCACTACACTCGACACAGTTTTGGGTCTTTTTCTCGTCAGGTCCTTGACGCTGGAATTTCTTGGAAGCAGTGACACCCAGACCCTCATTCAGACCACCAGGCTTCTCCTGACCTGTTTGTCCTGCAAGCTGGAGGACACTGTGGGATTGTGGCTGCAAGAAATCACAGAAGAGTTTTGCTCCAAGCTGTCCTTCGTCTTACAAAGCTCCACTAACAGTGAGTCTAGAATTGTCAAATATTGCACTGGATTCTTGAAGTGCCGGATCTTCCCCCGATCGCTGGTTTCGATAATCAGCCGTGAACTGATATACATCTGCCATCCTTGTAGGCAAAGACCACTGAACCGTGCTTTCATGTCGTATAAATAGGTAAGCCTTCAAATGCTCCATGAATTCTGCAAAGTATGAGAAAAATGTAGAGCCAGCACCCAGTACTGGATAAATGAAAACTATTCTCAGCACAAGTGGTGAGGATTATGTCATTTAATGAAGAATTCGCAATGATTTCACATAAAAGTAATCCTCGCTCTCTGGTTTACAATGTACGACATGCAGTTGCACAACCGAATGATTTCTTTCTGTAATGATGGCCAATCAATGGGAAACCACGTAGTCACGTAGTACTTTGACGCCTTTTGATCGATCCTATGGGCAGTTGTCATTCTCATATCTTTCAGTCGAGCTCCTGTACAACGTGGGCTTCATCATAAGGACACTGTTCTCACTGGATGAGACGCTGGTGCAGGATTGGACAGACAGTGAGCAGATTGTCAGCATCATCGAGGCCCTGAAGCAAGTCAAGTAAGTTTCTGGACGCATTTCTGTTTTCTGATCCCAATGCATCAGAGAGATCAAAGTTTTACTGGAGACAGTCTGAACAGTACAGACTACCGAAGTGAACACGTCACATGCACAACTATGTCTGCAAAAATGCATTTGTACGAGACCAGCGCGTGAACCAGCATACACGCGTGCTCCACTTGTTAGCACTACACCGCCTGGTTCAAAATGACATCACACTTCTGTCCTCTATTACAGGTGTGCCGGTACCTGGAGTTGACAAAATTTAGTCAGCATTCCCAGAACGTCAAAAACTAAGTTTGTCCAAAAGTTTGTCCCAAAAGTTGACATTTTGACTCTAGTGAAGACATAGCTCCCCCCAAGAATGGTGTAATAATAATTCTGCAGTTTGGTGCATCCTTAATTGATTAAACAACTGTAAGACTGTCTTTCAAAGTGTTTCTGTAAATGCCATTAATTTGTGTCTGAGTCCGAAGAACGTCCCATCTTAAAATTTTGTACAGCAAACTGTAGTCATCGTTGGCAAGATGAAGGGGGTAGTGAACTACATGTAAAACGGATGACCTTAGACCCAAATCAAACCCTCAAGACTGGAATCTAATCAAATTTTTGAGACCTGTATCTTGGGTATTGTACTAATGAGTTGACGTCCCTGTCTCCCCTTTGATCCCTGACACAAGGTCTGATGGGAAATCAACAGCTGGCCAATCACGAACCATCTCCTTGCTTCTGAGCTGTTTAGAAATCATTGTTGCCGATGATGATGGTATGACCAATCTTGGTAAGTGTGGTATGAAGACAAATGGGATCTCTTCATGTTGAAAAGGGGTTTAATGTTTCCATTTTCACCACCATAATCACTGTACCTGATTATTGTTGGTGTCATGAGCACTATAATAATCGTCATTATGATCGCAATCTTCACAATCTCTTGTTTTATCACCATCTTTGCGAAACAAAACACAATCGTCATGACAACCACTGTATTATGACCATTATCACCATAGTCAGTGCAACCACAATCACCATCACAATCGTTATCATTCCAGCCACTATTATCATGATCGTTATCACCACCACAATCATCCTGATCATTATCTCCCCATTCATCACAACCGCTGTCATCACAGCCATTGCCACCACTTAGCATTCCACCATCATCCTTAAAGCCAATTATTACAACTTCAGTATCAGCCAGTGACACTGTCCTGCCCCTGTTGACGGACTTCCTGTGGAGCTTCTGCGAGGATGAAGTGGTGACCGTAGAGGGCAGCGAGGGTAGTCTGGCCTCCACCATCTACATTGTTGAGGTTGTCATGGCAAATATGGAAGGCCTAAATGACATCGTGGACACCCTGAACAAGTGTAAGAAACAATGTTCTTGTTCAAAATTAAACAGATTCCAGAAAACAGGGGTGTGAGAATTCAGCTTTTCAGTTGATTTCAGCTTTTTTTGTTAGTCATTTATTCTGAATTTCAGCTTTTTTTACACCTGTTCTGTGCAAAATTATGGGAACATTTAAATTGCAGGTTTGTGATAGATGTTTTCAGCATATTGTGTATGCTGCCACTCGCACCCCTGAGAAAACATGGCTGCTGATCCCAGCATCAACGCATTGGTTTGTCTAACATGCCGTACAGTAATTACTTATTTTTACCATGTTGTGATGTTCTGATGTCCTTAACAAACTGTGCTGTACACGTATGCATTTTACGTTTTTGTGGATATCAGTTGGTTTCCTTTTCATTGTTCACAGATCCCAAGCTTTTGAAAGGTGCTGTTGAAATATTTGCCTCCCTCTACTCACAGAAGGCAGCAACTAAAGAAAATGCTCTTGCCGACCCAAAACAGGATTTGCCAGGCATAAGCATGTCAGAGTCAAATGATCAAGAAACTCGCGACAAACAGTTGACATCCTCAACAACTGGTGACTCTAGTAATGGAGCGCAAACGATCCCAGAGAGAGAGTCAGATAGGGACAAAAAGGGTGAGTCGGACACAACAACAGGTGTTCAGCCGTCCAAGGCAAATTCGGAGCAACTCGTAGACACTGAAGCTACTGCCACATCGCCGGTAAGGCAGAGCTCCAAATCCAACGAGGCACTGGTCGAGGGACATGCTGACGCCAGTGACAACTCGAGTGGGGATCACGACACAGTGGATGAGAGTCATGACATTGAGCGGAAGGAGCTGTCTGACAATCTATTGTCCTTCTTTGTGTTCCTGTTGCGGGAGTCAGGGGTGAGTTTTGATTGCTTTCGATCTCTGAGCTGACATACATGTAGAATTTGAGCTATAATTTGATGCAGTTGCAAGCCACTCAACGTGTGTAGGTAGGTCAGATAGCTCTGCATTTCGGGGACATTCCTTTGTCAGGAAATTTTTGACAGGATAACAAGGACTTAGTTATGTCCCTACAACATTTTGGGTTTCCTCGGCATTTTGAATCCTCAAAATACATGGAACTGCTCTTCAGTGGTTGTGCTGTTCCCACAGCTGTAGACCAAGGTTGTGTAAACTGGCCAGGAGTGAGGTAATTGAAATTGGTCATTTTTTCACTCATCATAAAGTGCCCTCATCTTTTTTCTGTCTCAGGGTTCTACAGAACGAGGGTTTTTTTTTAACAATGAATGGTGGACGTGAATCTCTCGAGATGTAATTGTCAAGATTTACAAGATTTTTGATGAAAATGCAAAGAAGTGTAAGGAGAAAGTGAGCATATGTCAATAAGCTGCTGCATCAACGTACATGTATGTGACCTTTGCCAGCAGTCATACATACACTTGCTTCGGACCTGCCGTTTTTTAGGAAGAATGCCAAATTAGTCAAAGATGTAATTCAAGGTAGCTCAAGGTTTACCTCAAGGTTTGAAGAGCTTAATACTGTAGGGCAGTTTTGTAGTTAGTTTTGTAGGGCACCTCAGGGCAAAACTTCCTGTGACTCTTTAAGTATGCATTCTTCCATCATTAGACTTCATATTCCGGGAAGATCTTCCTCCTGAACATTTAGCTTTTACGACATGCGCCGGCTGAGAGATGCTTGTGCTCTCTGATTACGTAGGACAGAATTCATTGGAGCTTCATGCTACTCAAGGTCTACGTTGAGGTGTTATGAGGTTTAACAGGGTTTCGTAGGGCGCTTTAGGGCTAAAGTTTCGATGACAGAATCTGACCTGCTTATTCCCTTGTCCTCTGTTCCTCGGTGCAGGGCGGTGCATCCCAGTCGCAGGTCGCGAAGTTGCTGAGGGACGCCTGCGGCCACAAACACCGGTCGGTCGTGAGGCAAGGGATGGCCCAGACCAAAGCGAATCCTGAAATACAACAACTTCTCGCAGCTACGCTTGGAGAAAACACATGAAGCCGTATAATCTTGACGTCGAACGCCTTGCTTATTTTATTAACTTGTACAGTGCCACCTGTTAATACAGTTAAGTAGCAGTTTTAACGAACACACCTGGTGTTTGTTAAAAAGAGGAAAAGTCATGTTTTAGTAAGCCATGCATCGAGGAAAATCTGTGTGGCTGCCCCAAAATGGAGCCTTGGTGGCGCACTATTGTGAAACACCCGTATTGTGAATTACTACTTAAGGCTTACAAGTGCATGTAAAATGATTCACTCAAGACCACGTTTTGCGAGTCAAAATGTGTCATGCTGTTACTGTGGAATTGCCTTAATACTTGATTAGAGAATTCTACACGGAGGTATTCCTTGTCCTCTTCATTTGACTTTAGTCATTTCTCAATTTTCCTCACTCACTTTCTTTTATAATTGACAGTTCAGATTTCAAGAGGAGGACATGCACTGTATGCGCACACTTCTTCTGACAGTGCTTACATTTACCAGGCGACATCCTCGACAAAAGAATAGTTCAACTTCACCCTGTTATTCTTTCGCTTATCAGTTGCTGTTCACTGCGGAAAAGACGTCACGTTTCCCTTACCCTACCGAGCGACTTATTTGTGTGTTTTTTTCACATTAGTCATCAATTCGTAATTGGTCACCGTGTCTTACATAAACGGGAGACACAAAATTACTTTGCTTTTCTTACGCATGTAGCCTGGTCGGTTATAGGAAGTAAAAGGCACACAAAACAAGTTGGTATCTACAAAAAAAGTACATTTATATGAAACCATTCAGATGGTTTACTTTAACTACAATAAAGTCCCTGGATCAAAGATACGAGTTTTTCAAAAATAAATTTACTTTTCAACCTAAAACAATTGTTAATGGGTCATCTGTTACAATTTCTACTGTGGTTACCACAGCGTGTTCTTAAACCTCCTTATGATGCATGTAGTTATTTACAATATCATTTATTTCATGCGTGTTCCCATGCACGTTAGTTTAACTTTCTGTTTCAACATTACGCATAAACAACCTTGAATTCTCGTTGAAGTATTAAACCTTTCCTTTTTTCGCAGCCACTCTTAAATGGTGAATACCCTTCATTCGAAAACTCCAAATTGTAAAAACAGAATCAAAACAGTATGTTTCTCCATCAAGAGTTTCTTTGATTTCTGAAAAAACTAAGCCCTGTTTAACTTTCTGTATCATATCTGCTTAAGCGATGCAAGCAAAGCTAGCATGGCCCAGGGTTTTACTTTTTGTTCTGCTTTGTTTTTGCTTGGTTTTAATTAATGTGGATTTTTTGTTGCATCACAAGTAACGTTTTTGCCAGCCACAGTTGGCAAACTAGCAGAAATACCAGTGTTACAAAATATCACGTCAGTAGGCCTACGTAGTAAATACCTCAATACTTGAAGAAAATGACACTTCAAGGCACT